CAGAACAAATGCAGATTTCCAGTTTCGGTCTCGGACCGTACACAGATTAGTTGTGCTGCGTTAGTGCTGCTGTGTTTGTGTTGGTGTTGAGTTTGTCTAAATGTTCGAGGACCTTCCTGTGCTTCGTCCAGGACAACGACCGGCCGGACCTCAGTAACTTCATGGAGTCGGGGGAGTGGGTTCTGAAGGACTACCGGAGCTGGAAGCACTGGGTCTACTACACGTGCTGCCCCGACACGCCCTACCTGGACATCACCTACCACTTCCTGATGCTGCGCCTGCCGCTCTACTTCATCGTCAACGTCATCATCCCCTGCATGCTCTTCTCCTTCCTGACCGGCCTCGTCTTCTACCTGCCCACCGACTCCGGTACCGAGACCCAAGAGTGTAGACGCTGTAAACGATGGACAGCTTCAAACCGTAGTGTTTCAACAGTTTACTGATATTTTATGGAGTCTGTCTGTTATAGGAATTGAAAGCTATACTTATATTCAGGATTAAAGGATTAAAAAATGGTAAATAATTTTTTAGTCAGATTTGGCCTTTTTCACACAGTTTGTTTTCCGGTGCAGCCGACAGTGAAACCTGACAGGAGACCGTCAGCACTTTAAAGTCGACGTTATCCTGAGACGTCCAGACTCAGATGTTTGTTCTAAAGCTGAACCTTGATGTTTGTGTCCAGGTGAGAAGATGACTCTGTCCATCTCCGTCCTGCTGTCGCTCACCGTCTTCCTGCTGGTCATCGTGGAGCTCATCCCCTCCACCTCCAGCGCCGTGCCCCTCATCGGGAAGTACATGCTCTTCACTATGGTCTTCGTCATCGCCTCCATCATCATCACCGTCATCGTCATCAACACGCACCACCGCTCGCCCAGCACCCACACCATGCCCGCCTGGATACGCAAGGTCGGCGTCCGACCGCTGCTGCTACAGTCTGCTGCCGTTGACAGGAACTAACCAAACCTCCGTCGTCCTTCCTTCCAGGTCTTCATCGAAACCATCCCCAACATGATGTTCTTCTCCACCATGAAGCGTCCCAGTCAGGAGATCCGCCAGAAGAGGCTCTACCCCACCGACATGGACATCTCCGACATCTCAGGCAAGACCTTCTCACGGAGGACCAGAGGAACATGTTGAAGGCAGAAAGTCTGGTTTTTGTATATCTAAGTGCAGGTGTTGCTGTTGGTTTGTCTCATGTTCCTTCACTGAGGTTTGTGTTTCTCTGCAACATAAAGTCCTGCAGCTCTGTGGAACCAGAACAACATGAAGAAGAAGGAGAGAGAACTCGGTGTCAGATGTCTTCTGTCAGCAGGACTCAGAATGATGGAAACCAGAGAGAAAGTTTCACTCTCTTCTGTGACTCTTTCAAAGAAAACTAACCGGCTTGTCTCTGTAGGAAACACTGCCTGCAGTTCATCTGAAGCCTGGTTCTTGGTCACAGCTGAGTCAGTCGTGGCCTGATGGTTCCACAGAGGAGCTCAGAACTTTGAGTTTTGACAGAATCTGCTCATTGCAGATTATTTGCAGCCAATTTTTAAATGAGACATGTAGAATAATGAGGTTTTGATGACATATTGGGCTTAGATTTGGTTCATTTTTCCAACCAGTGATTCCTTGAAGCAGTATCAGGAAGCTGAAAATCCATTTATTCTTTATGACTTTACATTCTCTGGCTGATAAATGGAGTCAGTTTTTAAAGACACCCGGCATTTTAAATCCTTTGACAGGTTATAAAGTGTTGAAGCGAGATGAGAGAGATTTTACCAACTGACATAAAGAACACAAACTGAAGCACCAGAATCCTTTGACTTCATGATTTAAAAAAGAAAAACACCACGTTCTTCAGCTGCTCCTGAACCAGCCTCCACAGTGACCCTCTGTTCCTCCTCAGGTAACCCGACACCCACCAGCGTCACCTACCAGTCGCCCATAGCCAAGAACCCGGACGTCCGCAGCGCCATCGAAGGAGTGAAGTACATCGCCGAGACCATGAAGTCAGACGAGGAGTCGAACAACGTAAGAAAATGAACAGAACATACAAAACATGAGCAGCCCAGTTTTCCAAATCAGTCTGACAGCAGCTGAATATTTCATTAAACTGAGAAGTCGCCACCTGAACTCCTTCATCTGGTTTTGGGGCGTTAGTATCCAGGTTTTTTGTACAATGTTACGTCAATATTCAGATTTTTGACATTTTGGGCTGCTAGTTTCCAGGTTTGTGACATTTTGTGTATTAATTTCTAGATTTTAGATATTTAGGGGGCTTCAGGATCCAGATTTTTGATGGTTTAGGCCATTAATATGAAGGTTTTTGATGATTTTGGGCATCAGTATTCAAGTTTTTAAAGATCTGGGCTGTTGATATGAAGGTTTTTGACATTTCAGGTACCACAATCCAGGTTTTTGACATTTTGTCAGTATCTAGGAGTCTGACAATTTGGGGCGACACTGTGCAGGTTTTTGATGTTTTGGTGCATCTGTATCCAGGTTATTTTTTTTTTTTAAGTTTTGGGTCGTTAATATCAAGGTCTTTGACATTTTGACCCATCAAATGTAGGTTTTTGAAGTTATAGGGCGTCAATATCCAGATTTTTGACATTTTGACACGATACATCAGTATCTAGGAGTTTGGGGCATCACAGGTTTTGATGTTCTGGTGCATCAATACCATGTTTTTGGTGGTGTAGGCCGTTAATATCAAGGTTTTTGATTTTTGTTTTTTTTGGTGTCACTATCCAAGTTTTTGAAGATCTGGGCCATTAAGGTTTTTGATGTTTTGAAGCATCAGCATCAATGTTTTTGACACTTTAGGGGGTACATTTGCAGCCCCACAGCCAGAAACATCTGCTGAGAGGACAAAACACCAACTGCAGGTGCATTGCATAAAATGTTGTCTTTTTAAGAAACCAGCGACTGAACTTCTTCCTCGTCTCCTTCCAGGCGGCGGAGGAGTGGAAGTTCGTTGCCATGGTGTTGGATCACATCCTCCTCTGCGTGTTCATGGCGGTTTGCATCATCGGGACGCTCGCCGTCTTCGCCGGGAGACTCATCGAGCTCAACATGCTGTAGAGACCTGAACCTGAAGGCTGCTGATCGGAGCGTTCATCAGTGGACTGGTCCAGGTCGTCCCGGACTGACGAAGGCTGCGCTGAGGTTTAAAGCTGCAAAGTGCTTCCACTCGTGTCGCCTCGGAGTTTGTGAGTTTGTGTATTTGCTGAAATTGCAGTAAAAAGAAAACTGAAGGCGTCTGAGAGACACGACGAGGTACGAGTCATACTTGAAGCTATTCTTGTCACAAACTCTTTTTCTATTGTTGTTTTTCTACAGTTTGTGATGCTGCGTGTCTCATATTACTCTGATTGTTCTGTCGTTTTTTGGCAGCTTGATGTGAGGTTTGGGTCACAGATTCTCCTTAACGTTGGATGTTGTCTCTGTCTTTGAGTGCAGGCGAGATATTTTCCTTCCAGGAAGTTTGATTGATTGGTTTCGCCTGACGCTCCTTTGTTTTATTTAAAGTCTTTTCTACTTTGAATGATATTCACGGGAGGTTTGCTTGGGGTGATTTTCGACTACAGTGAAGGTTTGTGGTGGAAATTAATGGAAATGATTTGCTGCTTATTAAAGGAGAACTCTGAAAATCCCAAAACGGCACACGAGGTTTGCTGAGTTAGTGCTCAACGTTGAAGTAATGAAGCTGCTTCCAGAATAAGAGTCCGTCCCTTTACAAAAAACACTTCAAATGATTCTCTACTGTATGTGTATTTGCTCTGATGTCACATTTAAAACTGCAGATGCCAAATTAGCTGTTGTGCAGAAATTTTGAACTTCCTCCTGAGAACTTCAAACACATCACACTGGAATATTCCTCTTCTTCATCTGGTCAGCCAGTATTCTGGTTTATCCTCAGACATTCATGGAGCATCTATAAACGTCATCAACACCTTCTGCCCTCATGCAGCCCCATATCATGATGCTGCCACCTCCGTGCTTCACTGTCAGGACGATGCATCCACTGTGGTGGTCCTGGTCAGGTTCACACCAAACATCTGGACTCCATCTGAGCCCAACACATTTATCTTCATCTGACCAGAGAATGTTCTCCAACATCCATCAGGCTTCTGTTCATGTTCTTTGGCAAACTTTGATGTGGAAGTTTATTTGTGAGCAGCAGCCAGATTTAGTTCTGGTCCTCCGTCCATAGAGGTTGATGTTCTGAAGTGTCCTTCACACTGTCTGAGCTTCACACTAACTCTGGTCTCCATTGATAAGCCCTGTGCCAAGTCTGAAGCAGCTGCTTTGTCTGGTGTTCACAGCTCCATAGTGAAAGTAGTTGACTGTACGTGGAGTCATTGTAGGAGGACGACCACTGCAGCCCTGATCAGAGCTACTATGGCTCCTTCTAGACCTCCTGGTTCCTGCTCACACTGGGCTGCACTGGGTTTTAGCTGCTCACTGATCTTCTGGATCCTTTTCCATCTTTGTCAAGTCTCTCAGTCAGATGTTTCTCCTCCTCTGTTCAGGTCTTCTCCATGTGGAGCCATGATGCAGACATAGATAGACACAGTCCATAGGTCCAGAACTGAGAAGGTTCTGCTGTTCTCAGCTCGTTATAGAACCATGTTCATGCAGGTAGACTGACTGGTGTTCTCACTGCTTTTGTTGACTGAACCTTTACTTAGTGTTGTTTTTTCACTTCTTGTTAATGTTTTCCAGCAGTGACTCTGCAGTACTTTGGCATCGAAGTAGTGATTTGAAAAGTGCAGCTGTAATTGTGTAAATGAAACAGAACCGACATATTTCAGCTGCAGCGTTGCTGCTTCAACGAGCAACTTGATTTATTTTGCAGCTGTGATTCCTTGAATAAAGACATTTAGTTCAGTGTAATGACACAGTAACCTGTCATGCTGCTGTGATCATTTGTTCTTTTATTTTGAAGTTGTGTCGATGTGGAATAGAGTGAAAAATAAAACTATCAACAAATCATTTATTTAGTCTTTTGAGTTTTTATAGTGAGAAATGCACCATCGATCAGAGTGTACTAACACATTATATTTCTAAATCTTTCTTTTCTCTTAATAGTTTTTAATGAAGTGTCTCGTTAGTGAATCCTGACAGAGCTACAAAGATTCTCCACTTTATTGAAGGACGAAAACTGATGAACTCTGATGACACTGATTTTATGTTAAAAGTCACCATAAATACTGTTTTCACTTCTAGCTGTGGCTTAAAGCTGATTTCATGTGCTAAACCGATAAAATCAACATTTAGGAATCACGACAACACAAACATCTCTTTACCTTATCGTTGAAAAACTTTATTAGGCGTGCCATGCACACATTGTATGACAAACAGCATCGGCAGGAATGCAGCGGATAAATCCAGCAAAGCAAAACAAAACTAGAAAGAAAACCCGGTTTAACACAGGAGTGACACGACTTGTTGTCCTTTAACTATTAAATGATGGTTTAAAACGCAGATTTTCATCACCAGCGTGTTATTGGGGACAAACAGCTCGTGAGAAGCATTCAGCAAACCACAACCAGGAAACCAGAGCAGGCAGCGGTACTCCAACAACGAGTCCAACCATCACCAGGCGTTGGAGGAAGAAACCTTCAGTTCATGTCTCTCCTCAGCTTTCCTCTCAGGTTTGACTTCGTCCAATGATTGCGTTGCTTCGAGGCTTCGAGGCGTCAAAAACCAACCAGAAACAGGATTAGAGCTAAAACATAAAACCGGACGCATAAATCTGTTCACACTAAATACTATTTAATGTGTCGTCTGTAAACTTCACGTGAATATTTCTCCGGGTCTGTTTCTGGAACCAGAGGGCTGAACGAGGAAGCAGGATCAACGAGTCAGCAGGTTTGTTGAGACTAAAATCGGAGTCGGTCAGATGTGGTTCTGTTCAGTTTTTGGGGATTTAAATCGGCACCAAACACAGTGCTGCCACAAGAACCGACATGTACTCAGTTTGTAAAGCACAAAATGTAAACACAGATTAGAAAGTTGATCGTTCTGTTGGTATTTATCACAGAATATTTAATCAGGAGCATTCATGTAACTTTGATTTGTCAAAAAAAAAAAAAAGTTTCCCGTCTCCTTCTTTCTGGGACAGTTTCAGACCTGAATGTTTAGTTTAAATCAATAAAGTTTAAAGTTTCAGCGCTTCTATGTGCAGCTGTAAGTTAGAAATAAGAGTCACTGAGTGTAAACAGAAATATATGAACTTAGAGCATTGATAGTTTTCTACCAGCGTTCCTCTCTGGACTGTAAAAAATACAATTATTTAAAGCTCTCTATTATAACAATCTCCTCTGACAGAAGTAAAAACCTACTGAACAATGAAAGTCGATAACCACAGTCACTATACCCCTCATCTCGTCTAGGTTTTGTTAATCCAGCTAACTCAAAGAAAGCCTGGATATGTTAATCCTGCCTCGTAGTTCAGCCCTCTGAGCGCTACAACTCAGGTGACACATATGTACATTTGCATAGACACTAGTTCTTAATTTAATACCACGATGTCGGTGCTGGACAAACAAACAACGAACCTCCTTCTAGTACCTGAACATCAGACGAGTAAACTAATAAATATTCCAGCAGTAAACTGAGGCACTCCGATGGCACCTGCCGCAAACATAAAAGACATCCCAGAATCGAGAAAACTCTTAAATATTTAACAAATGCTAATCTGCAGCTTCCTAAAGGCTGCAGAAGCTGAACCTTCAAAGCCAAATACACGTCTAAATGTTGAAACCAGCAGCTCCTGAACCACCAATTAAAACACGATACGGCCAAATAAATAAAAAAAACAAAACAAAAAAAAAAACAGTAAAAGTCAGTGCAAATGAAGTCATGAAATACAAATCAAACAAAGCATTTGGCAAATGACCACCCTGCTGAGAACTATGATTGGCAACAACCAGGCAGAGGACTTGGCAGCTTGAGCTTCTTCTGCTTGTTAAATATGTAAAGTTCAGTTTCTTCAGCTACTAGAGCAAATGTTAAACTCTAATTTGGCAGCTGCCACCTCACACATCTCAATAAAACCAACAAATTCATCTAAATAATCATTAATTCATGTTTATGTTTGTGAAACTCACTTTCTGAATCTGCATCTGATCCACATTCTGTTCATGCAGCATCCAGAAAAACGCTGGGAATTGAGAAAAGACACCGAAATACAGAAACTCTGCAGAGACTTGATGGAGATGAGAGAAACCAGGAGACACTGAGACAGCTGGAAGTCACCGATCATGAGTCAGCTGTGTTGAAAATGAGCTAAAATGCATTTTTTTAAAAAATATATTTGTTTCCCATTCAGACGTTTTTGCTGTTGAACCTGCAGAGTTTCTGTGTTTGGAAGCGTTTTCTCACTTTGAAATGCTATGAAGGCGTCATTGTTTGTGTTTTGTGTGTTTTTCTGAAATCACATCAGGGCCACTGAATGAATCGATCAGCTTGTGCTGCACATTAACGACAGTTTAGTGTAAAAACAGCTGCAAAGACAGATTTCTGTCCTTCCTTTGCTCAAAAACAACATTTTCAGCTGATCTGACTGTTGTCAGTTTAACGCCAGTAAAAATCCTCCGCTGTCGCCTTCAACGACAGAGACTCTACTTTTCTCTTCCTTCTAAAGGTGAAGCTTCCAGCAGGTGGTTTCGCTGCATTATTTCATTTTCAATATCAGTCCAGTGTCTTCTGGATAACTGATCACATCCTATCATTATCTGACACCAGCTGCTCACTCATTACCAACAAACAGTCAGAACTTCCTGTGAGTTCCTGGTTGGCTGTAGATGTGGGTCAGGAAGAGAAGCAGCAGAAACATGTATGAGCACACTGTAAACACCATGCTGCCGTCCTGGTTGGTCTGATGCTGCCAACAAGGACTTTTTAAACGACGTTTAGTTGATATTTGGGCGTGTTTTTGGTTTTGTTGAATCCGAACCACGTGTGAATCAGCAGCTCTACCTAAAAAAATAAAACTTATTAACAAATGAAAGCATCGAGCTGCGGTAAACCTAAAAGTTCCTTACAGAGACGATCCTAAAGCATCAGAGCAACATGAACATCCAGCGACTCAGTCTGAAACCTTCAAACTGTTCGGACACGTTGGAGGCATTTCAGGCAAAACTGGTGGACGAGTTCCCGATAGACGAGTCAGCAGCACGTTGGACTTCAAGCTGCTGATGGAGGCGATTTAACTGATCGGTGCTTCGTTTATGTCTGCTGTCACACAGGAGTGGAGAAGCTAGAACACAACAGGATGATAATGATGCTAACTTTGAATCATTTTATGAAAAACTACTCAACAGCAGTTAATAACCAATAACTGATAACAAAAACTGATCACAGCAGACGTGTTCTGAGCTGATTTTACTGTTTTAGTCCAGAGACGCATGATTTGTTCCACCAGTTCGTCTTAAACACCAGAGCTCTAGTTGGAGGTCATGAACCTCCTCAGAGTCTCTGTCATGGTCCCGCTGCTGCTAAACTCCCACAATGCTCTCTGCTGCCAACATGAACTGTAGTCTGAGTGACGCCTCCTCTGGTCTCTACAGGATTAAACAGTAACCAGGTTTGAACACTGGACTGATTTAACAACTTCACTGTAACTGGATCTCTGTATCTGAGGCGTTTAATGACTCGGGTGACTGTAGTATTTTTGATCGTGTCACCACTTTGAGGACTTTTCTCTCTGACTGTTTCCTGTTCAGGTGCTGATCTGGGTCTGCTGCTTCATAAAACACTCTCATGGCAGAAATTACAAACGCCTGCTGGAGTGCTTTTAAGTTGAAGTGAGCTGCTCTCCTTCCACACTGCAGCAGGTGGTGATGCACCTGGAGGCTGGTGAAGAAGAACTAATGTGACCACTGTGGACGACACCTGCGTGACAGCAGACATAAACAAAGATCGAGTTCAAGTCTGAGCTCAATGAAGCCGAAGATGTGTAACTTATCTTCCACATGCCTTTCTTATGATTTGTCAGTTTTAGTTGCTTTAGTCAGTTTTCTATGAGTCTGTGTGCATTTTATTGTCACATCTTTGCCTGTGAAGCACTTTGAATAACCTCTGTGTTTGATAAGATGCTACAGAAATAAAACGTCTTTATCTTCTTATCGATCAGTTACAAACTGCCTGGACATCCCGACTACATACATACACATTCAGTAGTTGTGATCTTCCACTAGAACCAGACTCCTCCTCCTCTACCTGTAACTAACCCACCAGTTTTGCCTCTGAACGCCTCGTCTCCTCCGACCAACACCTTCTGTTCGGTAACGTCGATCCTTCGCCTGCTTCTTCTCTGGACTCTGCAGCTACGACGGCTGACGTTCAGCTTCACAGAAGTCGCTGTGAATCTGCTCCTTCTTCTCCTGAACCTCCTCCTCTTCCTCTTCCTCTTCTCCTTCCTGAACCTCCTCTTCCTCCTCCTGCTGCCGTGTCGGCTCCTCTGATTGGCTCTCTGCCTCCTTCACAGGTCCTTCGTCGTCTCCGACCTCTTTCTCATCTGTAATGATGAAGCAGATGCAACAGCGGTGAGGAGTCGGAGGAAACAGCAAGAAGATGTGAAGAGAACCGATTGGTTGTTGGGAGTTAAAATCAGCGGTTAGGAGGATTAGCAGCATTCCTGTTGTGGAGGTTAACGCAGGCTGACTGGACAACAGATTGGAGACGATCAGGCTTACTAACTGCAGATCCTCCCAATTACACTTCAAGAATCGATATGATGATGTTCTGTCTCCTGTAATGATTAATGTGATTCACTCTAAAAAGCAGGTTAGATTCACACTGATCATAGGTCCAGAACGACCTGATCTCTGTTCGGACACGATGAATATTTCAGGGGAAATAATCACATGACACACGTCGTCTGCTGTAGTTAAAATGTTGGAAGTATTGGGGGTTTAAAGTACAGGTGTGATCTGAATCGCAGGAAAAACAACAGAAACTAATAAAAGGCTGCACGATATCTGAGAAACTGACACTGTGATGTTTAGTTTTATATAAATAAATACTGAGAATTTCCAGCAGATGACCTGTATAACTATTTTCAGAGAGTTAATGTGATTTTTCAGGGGAGTTTATCGACACAGAAAATAGGAAATAATGTTGAAGAAAAGCCGTCTGGAAGCATTCAGTAGTTGGAGTTATTTTTCCTTTACATCACAGTGTCCATGCAGAACCCAGATATCACCCAGATATCACGCAGCCTCGTTCTGGACGGTAATTAAAACAATAACTGGATTTAAAATTAAAATCAGTAATCAGCACTGTAATGATAAAATCAGCAAAGCTCCCCTAAAATATCCATATAAATATATAAATATACACCATCCAAACTGGGATTAAATGACCTACGAAAGAAAGACACTTGGTGCACCAAATATTTGACTCGTCTTTTCTTTTTTCTGTCTTTTGGACTTCATGTAGGTGTAAAGGAAGAAATACACAGTAAAAAAAATATATTAATAAATAAAAAAATCTGTGAAAAAAATGTGAAAATCTGACAACAAGAGTGCCGGAAAAGATGTGATA